TTCCGATATAATATTAACCAGAAACATATAGATATATAATTATATCAATATATTGCATTTCAGGCATGTATTTGGAGTTTTTCAGTAATGACAAAAAATAATGATAAATTGCCAACACTGAATCACAGAACAATAAATGCTTTTGGAACATTAAAATCATATTTAAAGAACTAATTTTAGTTATTGGACAATACTATCAAAATCTCCTTAGTTGTTTTTGGCATCAAGGATGATAAACATCAACACTGTGTAGACAAAAAGGATGAGAATGAACTGCTTTATTTAAGCTCTTAACTTGAAGGCAAAATAATCTTTCGTTACACATGATACTGATGGAATGGAAATGGATGTTGGAAATGCTGTGCTTCTAGTGCATCTATGGTTAGGCCATTATTATTTATTATATGCCAATGCGACAATGATTAGAGTGATTATCACAGTCACAGTACTGGGAGAATTGTCAGATCAGGAGCTTGAAACACCCTAAATAAGAAAATTCCACTCCTCCAACTCAAAGTGGATGACATACTAAGAATGTACAACTTTGAGAAACACCGAACTATAGTGTTGGGCGACAAAAGGAGTTGAAAGAGGGGAAGGGAGAAACGTTTGCTCGGCAGTTAAAAGACCATACCATAACTTGGTAACTGACCCTTTCAAACTCAAAGCAGGAATAGGGATAGGAGTATTTAAGTCGAAAAGTAAATACTCCGTACCAATGGTCACTTATCCCAGCAGCCTACAAGAAGAAATTTACGCTATCGAAAGGTGAAAAAAATGGCAAAAGCACAAAAAATAGCTATTTTATCCACTACTCAAGTTAAGAGCTATTAACTCAGTTACCGTCAATTAGAAGTTGGCCAAGGTATGCTTAGAGAAGCTGTACAAATTAGGCAAAGAAAATAAAGTTCTCCTACTCTGGGTTAGCCATCTCACCGTTGTATAGATTTGTCCTTATTCACTTTGATAGACGGTAATAAAAAAGCAACCGATCTAGCCAGAAATGGAGCGAACACTCCACTAACTGGACCAGAGCCGTTCTGCTTCTCATGTGGAAAAGTCCGTCAGTCCCAGAAGAGGATTTGTTTTTAATACTTTTAATTGTACTACGGAGCTCATCTAATGCTACGGGCGTGAAGAAGAAACTGCGTAAATTCATTTGCTTTAGGGAGATATGAAAGTGAATCATGGGAAGGAGTTATTATGTAATTATATTCAAATCTTCAGGTGAATTAAAGACTGTGCCATACGAAGAAGCCTTATTCCTTAAGTCATTTACAATAGCCCAAGTCTCCTTAGCAACATTACCGGATTTCGCTAGCCTCCAATTATAATAAATGTCCTTGGCAGCTTTTATAGTCTTACGATAAACCTTTCTATAAAGTTTCACGTAATTATGAAAGAAGACACTGTCCATGAATTTTTTAAGGTGAGATAATGAGCGCATGTTCTTTGCAGACAGATATACGCAAGCCTGTAGTAGATCCAGGTATACCTTGTTTAATTTTGATAGGCCTAAGAGGAAATGCCTTGTACGCCAGATTAGACAAGGTATTTATAAATCTAGAAAATTCGGAATCGACGTCAGCTGAGAGGACAACCCACTCAGTTGTTAGACATAGGTGGTGGAAATTTAGAAAATTTTTATCCGAAAAAATACGGCCCAATTTACGCGAGGTATTTTTGCATTTGGATTTTGGCAAAAACTTTGTCAATACTGCCTCCTGATCAGAGAAACCTGAGTGAAGGACTCTACAGTCAACGAATTCCGGGTCAAAAGACGACACGACATAGTCTATAGTACTAGAACCAGTTTTAGTTATTCTAGTTGGTGAGTCAATATGCATGAGTATACCAAAAGAATCAAAAATGGACTGGAGAGACTCCCTAGCTGCACACACACTGGAAAAGTCAACATTTAGGTCGCCACACAAAATTAATTTACTTTTTATAGGTAGGAATTCAAGCAAGCTAAGCAATTTTTGACTGAAAATATGTACGTCAGCGTCAGGTGTTCTGTAAATACAAATAATATAGAGGTCAAAAGCATTATGATAAACGACGGAAAATTCAATTTTTTTTCGGATATTAGAGTATCGAACTTAGATTACTGCCGAAAAATCGTTGTTAGTAGACATTATCATAGTATCTCCATGAGATGAGTTACTTCTATTGAATCTAGTTAATATAGTGTAATTTTTGACAAATACAGGCTCATCCATATTTAACCAATGTTCAGTTATGGCAACAATTTCTGGAAAATTGAGCTCTTCTAATAAAATATATAATTCATCCGTTTTATGTCTTAAGGACTGAATATTAATTAAAAAAACACTAAGCTTGCTATCGTCTAGTTTTTCAGAGGGTGCTTGATCCTCTGTTCGCGTCATTTCACGTCAAAATTTTTATTTTTATTTGGAGAGCCATTGGAGAAATACTTGGTATGACTTTCCTTAATTCTCTGAAGCTGTTGGAGTTTTTCCGTTGAAAAGAAAGACCTGAAGGCAGAAAGATCCGCATCTACTTCAGCTGAGTCAATACCATAGACGTTGTGGAGGCGATAATACAGCCTACGCAGGGAATCCGTGTCACTAGGAAGTCCCTCTGAGGCCATAAATAATTTGATGTATTTTTTTTTCAAAATTATTATAAGTTAGTACCACTAAGATGCAAACTGGAAGTCGAGGGCAATGTTATAAAGCAAGAAATGAAGTTCAAGTGTCTAGGCATAGAAATATCACGATATGGCGATGTAGAGGCGGAGGTGCGAGAGCGGACAACGAAGGCAACCAGAACAGCAGGATGCCAGAATGACACAATATGGCGATATAAAAACATAAAGGTTGAAACTAAAGCGAGAATTTACAAGGCAACGTTACAACCAATAATGACATACACTGCAGAAACTCGACCTGATACAGCAAAAACTAAACTACTAGAGACAAACGAAATGAGAGTATTACGCAGAATAGCTAGAAAGACGGTTCTGGACAGGGAGAGAAAGGAAAGAGCATGCAAGGTGGAAAATGTAAATGAGTGGGTACTCAGCAGAAAGGAAGAATGGGACGAGCATATCAGCAGAATCGACAACAGAAGGATAGTGAGGTTTGCACGCGACAAATCACCGCTAGGTCGCAGAAGCTTAGGACGTCCACGAAAACGATGGAGCGACAACTTGTCAGTCTGACCAGTAGAGACGACGAAACCAAACAGGCGATTCGCCTAGTATGAAGAAGGAAGAAGTTATAAGTTGACGACAATGTAGTCAAGATACACACACCGGAAAAATCTAGGGATATCATTTTATTAAAGTTAAAAATAAATGTTTTGAATAAACAACCACATATTTGTAGGCCGATTCTTTCTACTTCGATTGAAACGAAGTAGTCACATTAGTTATTTCTAAATTTGGGATATTTGCAGAAGTGTTTGTGCATTTTTTGTCAAATGTATAAAAAGCACCTAGCATCAATTGTTCGAATTTAACCTGTACTGGCTATGTTTTTATGATAACTGGCCAAAATTGATTCAAATAACTCTGTTTAGTATTAAACGACATTATGAAGCGTAGACATCTTAACAGAGACGAAATGCTAAGGGCCATGGGTATGCTTGAAGCTGGAATGCGCCAAATCGACGTAGCTAGAGCTTTAAATACAACGCAAAGTGTAATATCGCGATTAAGAGCACGCTACTGTGAAAGTGGTTATGTTGCTGAAAGGCACACAGGGCGACATCGCATTACTACCCCTCAGCAAGATCATATTTTACAATTAAATGATCGACGCCGACCGACTCTTACAGCACCAGAGCTTAGTTTAATTCTCCAGGAAGCACATAATTTAACCGTTAGTCATGACACTGTTCGCAATAGATTAAGAGAGGTCAACTTAAGAAGCAGACGCTCCTGGAGAGCTTAACCCTTAACGAGAGGAAATCGAGAGGTACGAAATTTGTGGGCTCAAGATCATGTTCAGTGGTCGAATGAACAATGGGCCAATGTTCTCTTCACGGATGAGTCACGCTTTGGAATTCATCCGGATTCGAGAAGGCTTAGGGTATGGAGAGAACTGGGAAATCTTATTCGGTTGGATCATGTTCAGGAAGTGCACCCTTATCAAGGTGGAACAGTTATGGTCTGGGGAGGAGTCCATTTAGGCAGAAAAACCGATCTCGTTTTTCTTGAAAGGTTTCTAACATGAATCACATATCGTGATTTAATTCTTGAGCCTGTCGTGTTTCCATATGCCAATGATTTTGGGAAAAACTTCATTCTCATGCATGACAATGCACATCCTCATACAGGCAGAGTGGTAAGCGAGTTTATCAATGCTCATCAATTAAACATCTTGCCCTGGCCGGCACTATCTCCTGACCTGAACCCCATCGAGCACGTATGGGACGCGGTCCAAAGAAGAATTTTGAGAATGGGTGTGCCTCGTGAAACTCGTAGGGATCTGGTTCGGGCCGTGAATGTAGCGTGGCAGGCTGTACCTCAAGAAGAGATCGACAACCTGATCAGGAGCATGGAGAGACGATGGAGGGCTGTAATGAACAGTAGAGGAGGCCATACCCTTTATTAAGTACCTAAAAATGGTTTTATCTTTTTTTTTAATTCACAGTTTAGAATAAAAAAAAATGTGTGTATTTTTTTGAGTTCAATAAAAATCAAAGTAAATTTGAAAAATTCGGTAAATTTCACATTTTTATTTCCAATACGTTCTGTAAACTATTTATTTATTTTAATTTTATTATATCAGAAATGCAAATAATAAAATTACTGACGATGGCTCAATAAAAATGTAATATCCCTAGACTTTTCCGGTGTGTGTATATTGTTTTGATAGAAACTCGGCCCAAAGCACAAAACACCCTAATTAAGAAAGAAAAACGTAATGCATTTACACCGATTTTATCCCAAAACCCACCCATCACCACCACTCTCCTGCGAGACACAAGATCGCCAACTCCGATCTGGCAGTACCTTCGTACCGCCACGATCTGCGGTACTCGACTCCGCCAAGTCGTCACCACCAGCAGGCGCTCTTCGACGGGGTCTCGTCTCGTCTCGACCGCTGACACGCGAATCACTTGCACCAGTCGCCATCGCCAGTCGTACTCCCGATTAGGAAGAACGAACAGCGAGAATTCTGCGCTGCGGACGCTCAGTACCACAAGTACCACGGTCTCGCAGTAACTCGTTCACCGAGGACGCGGCGACCGCGAACAGCTCCTCGCGTACGACTCTTTGGAGCCGAAAGCAGCACGTGCCTAATTGAAAGTACCGAAGCTTCTTCAGATCTTTTTTTGCTTTATTTGATTTTATTGATAATCATCTTATTTTGATCACTGAAATACTTGTTGATAACGTTGTGGTGCTACATTTTTCGGAAACTTAGAGACATCTTTCAGATATGTTAGTTGGTGTTTAAGACAAGCATTTGATGAAAGACTATTAAGAGCTTCCCTGAAAATGACAAATGCTCCAAGAATAAAAGTCGTGGTGTTGGGAAGTTCCAAAGTTGGAAAATCAGGTATGTCATTAGTTCTAAGCATGCTTTGATAAATTATGTTATTTTATTTTGATATTGGACCAATATTATTCCATTTCTAGTACTTTATCTATTAGTAGTGGAATGAAATTACTGAAGTTTTTTATTTCTTTGAGATCTTTTTGAATTTGTTTAATTCCAATGATAATGTTTGTCCGATCCTCAAAGTCTTTTATAACTTTTTTTGTTTTAATTGCATCAGTGATGAGTTATGTCTTTAGATATCCTTGCGTTTGTTTATACATATTAAACTCATATTTAAAATAATACACCAAAAATATAATTTATTTCCAATATTAAATTGAGACGAGTATTAGGTACTGCTTGACTGAATGTCTGTTGAACCTTCATGTATTTTTTAATATCATTGTACAGGCTTGTCTACATTTTTCTTAAAATATTACATAAAAAAACAAATCCTATTAAGAATTTAAGTGAATGGACAGCTGCAAAAAAAAATGGTAAATTACGATGTTTTTAATTTATATTCTCTTTGGTTTAAATATAATTTAAGTCATATTCTCTATTTAACAGTGCAACAAAACTAATTTTTAATTCAAGTATTAGTGCTTCACAATAGCTGTACAAACTACTCGCGTTCGATCTTGAATCCTGTTCTCCTGAATCCTCTTCATCCTGAATCTCAGTTCTGAAAGCAACACGTGCTTAATTAAAAGTACCTAATCTGCATTAGGTCTTTTTTGCTTTTATTTATTTAATTAATATTTTCTTGGTCGTCTTCTTTTAATCATTGAAGTACTTCTCAGTTGCCTGTTGCTTGCTTGGTGTTTAAGAATAGCCTTTTGAAAAAAAAACTGTGAAGATCTATCTTAATTATTACAAACCATACAAACGCTCTAAGAATCAAAGTCATGGTGTTCGAGATTTGGAAAATTAGGAATGTCATATAGTTTTTTTCCCGCTGTTTTTGTATACTTATCAGTATTTTAACAAAGTTTTAATAACTATTCGTTAATTTTCATATTTACCCAAAACATACATTAATACATTAGTGTTAGTTCAAGATACCGAAGAATCTTTCAAATGATTTTATCTAATATTTTTCCTTGAATGATATTCGTCTTTTGAACTTCTGAAATACTTATAAATAACGTCGTTTTATTGCCTTTACACATTTCTCCAAAGTGTTACTAGACGTTTTGAGAAAAGCTGTTAAGAACTCTTAAGAACTTAAATTAATTAACAGTTCTTAGCAGCTAATTAACTGAATTTGACAAATCCTCTAAGAATAAAAGTTGTAATGTTTGCAGTCCCAAAGTTGAAACATTACCTAGTTAGTTTTTCCTGTTTTTCGTTATATGTATAAGTAATATTAAGACATGAATGACACACACATTAAGACATGAATTTGACACATGAATTTCCAATTATTAAATAAAGTGTTTATTAGTGCTTGACTGAAAGTATCAGTGCTTCTTTCAGATCATTGTGATTTAATTGATCTGAATGCTTTGAATTATGTATATTGCGATGTGCTATGTAGATTTTCAAAATTGGTTATTCGTTGTTGAGAATTTTGAAAAACAAATGCATATGATATAAAATTCTTTATTACAAGAAAAGTTTATACACACTTAAGCCTTGACAATACATTAAAAATGATAAATTTTTAATATTTAATTAAAGTATTTATGACTACTGATTAGGTTTAATGTAATGTTATATGCACATTTTCAAAATTGTTACTCGTTAAGACCATTGATTGCTTTGAAAAATAAATACTACATAAAATTCTTTATTTTAAGAAATATTTATACATAATTATATGTATAAACATTTCGACATATATACAGAGCTGCAAACTCACAAAACGCTTAAGTCTTTTTTTTATTTAAATCATTTTAATGACTTAATAAAATGATGGGCTTTTGATTTTAAGTCATTTTTCGAAAGCTGACTTAAGATTTAAAATTTAAGTAATTTTCAAAATGATTTGTGATTTAAATCTTTATTCAGAAATAGAAAAAGATTTAAGTCTTTTTAATAGACTTATGTCAGATTTTTATATATTTTTATAATAGATTTTTAACGGGTTTTTAAGCTTTTCTTTTTAAACTATTAGATAGCCAGACAGCAGATAAAAAAATCAGTACCACCTAGCAATGTATTGAGTTTGTTGTCTTTCAAGCAAATCAAGTGAATTCTCGACTCTGTTATGCAGACCTAAAGGCGAACGAAAGATATTTATCTCGAATATATTGAAGAGTACCTCAAAATCCTCCAGCCTTTATCTTATGCCATCGACATAGTGATAAAAACAAATCGGTTAAATTTTATATAAAAAAAAACGTTTTAACAGAGAAACATATTTTTCTAGAATAGTATGTACCAAAAAAATTGAAGTATATTGTATTATTGTTTAATAACATATAGTATGCAAATATCAAAACTTGCAATATTTAAAAAAATACCAATTATATAATCAAAATCGTGTACTGCGAATTCCCCTGTGCTTAATATTAAAAGCATTTTAGCGTAGCTTTTAATTAGGTAGCATAACGTGTTACATAAATTCAGCGGGTTCTTGTCAGCCATAAATAAATAATTAAGAGCCAAACTGTAAAAATCCTTTTAAACACCCACAAGCTTCTATTTAGTTCGTTGTTATAACACGCTTAAATCAAACATAATCGGATTAGAATAGTGAAATTGATAGGAAAATAGCTGAATTTCAGCTATTTTTGGCACAAACGCTTGAAGCATTTTATAAGTTCTCTGGTGGTTGTTAGATAAGCACTTTCATTATTCCATAGTTTTTCACCTATAAATTTCGCAGAGCAAATTGAACAGAGTAGGTCTGAGTAATGGCGTTAACAGAGAATATGTAATGATATTTGTTTTACTTTATTAATACTTTGTATTAATATATTTGTAGTACACTTTGTATTAATATTTGTAAAATAACATTACAAAAATATGCAAAAATAGAAGTGCTCTAATATAGATTAGGTTTTTGAGGTGATTATCGGCCTGTTCCACTGCGACGTCGTCGGGTCTATTGTGGTCCTCTTCTGATGTTTAGGTTACATTTTCCAATCCTATCCTTTTAAAAGGTGTAAAAACTTGGTGCCTCAACACCCCCCCCCCCATATAGGGTAAATCCGGTAGAGATGCCCCACTTTTCTTTTGGGGCTAATAATACATATTGGTAGTTAATTTTAAATGAAACTAATGATGCAATCCTAAACTATCTTTAATAGTAATTCATAATAGGACTAAGATAGTAATATAATGAGTAAGTATATATAATAGTAAGAGAACAATAAAAAAATAGAAAATTGGCCATCTCAATATTAACCACTAAACATAGTCTGTACGATATTACTTAAGATGTACGTTATTGTTTAAGACTGAAAATGTTTTAGGTGTTAAATGTAAAACTAGAACTTAAATCTACACTTAGCTATTCTTTACGTAATCTTGCTTCAAACAGTAACAGCGTGAGGTGGTCTCGCATCTCTGTACTGTCTGTCGGCGATCCAGGCTTAGAAACGGGAGCGAAGCAGCATGGGGCTTACGCTGTATCCATACTGTGGCAATATGGGGACACTACCCGTACCTTGGAACACTACTAGGACCTTGGATAATGTCCGTAACCTGGGCCATAAGCTTGGACCATAACCTGGACACAGTCCGTCCATAAGACAACGATACAGGGGAACACTACCCGTACCTGGGATACTACTAGGACCTTGGATAATGCCCGTACCTTGTAATTAGTCCGTACCTTGGACCCTAAAAATACGAAACTCTCGAGTTACTTCCGAGGGCTCACTAAATAATAAAGAACATGTCCTTTCTTCAATGTGACATTCTGGAAGACAAAAGAAAAGTGACGCCAACGTGCCAGAAAAATACAAATACAAGTTAAGTTGGGACATCCAAAACTCTACCCTGTAACTTCGAAATAGCAGCTGATTCAAATTATACAGCAAGATTTTTATAATTGCAGTTTCTCGAAGCAAGGATTTTTTTGACGGTGACAGTCGGACGGTCAAAGCCAAGTGAAGTTAAGCACGGAGAGAGTTGACAGAAGCGATGTTGACAGCGCCTCCACAGAACAGTGAAACGATAGCAGGGTTGCCGACTAGAGAACGTAAAAATTACGCGTCAAATAAACTATCCGGCCTGAACGAGAGGGAATCCGGTGATGATAGGCCAGACATCATATATTATATATAAAAAAGACATGTAACGAACTAAAAACGTTACAATTTTCCGACTGACTCGTCAACTTCAAAAAATTTCAATGTTATCGATGTTAGTATATGACATAAATTAGGATTGATTGACATATTCAATTGTTTTCGGTCACTTCCTGTTTCATCGGAAATGACTACAACTTTTGATTTTTAAATGGCACCCTCGGTATTTTTTTACTTTATTCGATAGAGAATAACACTCTGAATAGAATGACATATAATATGTCAATTTTTGACATTTTCGCCTAAAACAAAATTTATTTTTAAATTTCAATCTAGAGTGCCATGGCTGTGTTATAAACACTAATTTTTAATCAAGGAACGTCGGAAAAATAAATTTGATGTTCTAATGTTTTGCGTGGCTTGTCCTGGCCAGTTAAAAGATGTCCAAATCGTATTTTTAATCATATCTCAATTTTTTCAAATGGAAAAATGGTGGCTCATTAGCTTATTTGAAAAAAGCATTTTTTTACGAATAATTTGGTACCTTACATTACATACACTTGGTATTTCGAGTCAATTGTCGTTATGAACCGTATATTACAACTTCAAATAAACCTTATGCGAAAATGTCAAATGTTGACATATGATATGTCATTCTATTCAGAGTGTCATTTTCTACCGAATAAAGTAGAAATATATGTTGGTGCCGTTTAAAAATCAAAAGTTGCAGTTATTTCCGGTGAAACAGGAAGTGACCAAAAACAACTGAATACGTCAATCAATCCTAATTTATGTCTTATACTAACATACCAAATC